CCTGGAGGCCTCCTGGCCCTAACAGCAGGTAGAGCCTTAGCATAACCCATGCACTTTCCAGTTGCTTCCCTCCAAGAGAAGCAAGGAAGAAGCTGATCCATACTCACTTCATTTTTTCTATTTGAAAGTGCACCCCTATGCCACCTGCTGTAGGAGGACACTGTGACCCTAGAAAGGCAGCGAGAACAACCGAATGGCTACCTTTTGTATACCTGACTGGATATCATTTGTATGAGAACAGTGGAGTGACAGCATGTGAATGAGAACACTTGCTACAATATACAAAAGGAGTTCAAACAAAAGTATAGAAACAGTTGATGGGTTTTGTTGCACCCAATTAATTCTTATTTTCTTTTTTTTTAAGATTTATTTTTTTTATTATTTTTATTGGAAAGGCGGATATACAGAAAGGAGAGACAGAGAGGAAGATCTTCCGTCCGATGATTCACTCCCCAAGTGAGCGCAACGGCTGATGCTATGCCAACCTGAAGTCAGGAGCCTCTTCCGGGTCTCCCACGCGGGGGCAGGGTCCCAAAGCTTTGGGCCGTCCTCCACTGCTTTCCCAGGCCACAGGCAGGGAGCTGGAAGGGAAGCGGGGCTGCCGGGATTAGAACCGGCACCCATATGGGATCCCGGGCGTGCAAGGCGAGGACCTTAACCACTGTGCCACCGCGCCGGGCCCTAATTCTTATTTTCAAGCCACGGAGCTTCACATATCTCTCCTGGCCAAGTTTCATGGTCCGGGAGCTTGAAATAATTAAAAACGTTATTATACTTCATTTTTACTCTTTAATCTAACCACAGGTAACTGTAAACAATCAATAGGGGGAAAAAACCCACCATTCTCCTGGAGCTGATATCTCAATGTGTGTGTATTTCTATAATTCTATTGGAATGGTAGATTTATAGAGCAGAGAGACAGAAAGATCTTCCATCTGCTGGTTCACTTCCCCAAGTGGCTGCAATGGCCGGAGCTGAGCCAATCCATAGCCAGGATCCTGGAGCTTCTTCTGGGTCTCCCATGTGGCTTCAGGGTCCCAAGGCTTTGGGCCATCCTCTAATGACTCCCTGGGCCACAGGCAGAGAGCTGGATGGAAAGTGGAGCAGCCGGGATTAGAACTGGTGCCCATATGGGATCCTGGGCAAATCCAAGATGAGACTTTAGCCACTAGGTTACCGCCTTGTGCCTGGCTCAGAGGTGTTAAGATATCTAATCACTTTGGTGAATTTGCCATCTTTTATAACTCATTTTTTTTTGCTTATAAAATTAGAGTGCTAGCATCTCAACTAGATTATACTTTATAATTCCCAAATCTTCACAAAACATTTTCATTTTGTGGCCAGTGTGATGGTTCAATTGACTAATTCTCTGCCTGAAAGTGCCAGCATCCCGTATGGAATGCGGTTCATGTCCCAGGCACTCAGCTTTCCATCCAGCTCCCTGCTTGTGGCCTTGGGAAGAAGCAGAGAATGGCCCAAAGCCTTGGGACATTATACCCATGTGTAAGACCCAGAAGATACTCCTGGCTTTTGCATTCCAAAATAGCACATGGAAAATTACAAAAGCAACTCATGCAAGTTAAATTGCTTGGGGTCATTAACAGCATAATGAAGTTTTTGCTGTGACCGACCCAGGACATGAATCACGCCTTTGTCCAGCGTATCCATCATGTATGCACTACCCACCTGTCAGTCACCTCATGAACATCTCCGTTCTCAGACTGACTGATGTGAGACCTCGGCATATGTGCTAAAGTCACCTTTATTTTCCTTAATAACAGTCCCAGCATTGAAGAGGAGTGATGCCAGCAACTCAGACGGACCATGGAGAAGTCACGCGTGCTTGCTTAGAGACGAGAATTCTCAGTGTATCAAATAACTGAGATTACTAGGCTCTTTGAGAAAAAAAATCCGTGCCCCAAATTGTGAATGAAACAAATGTGCTGTCACACCCCTAGCTGTAAAAGTAGGTGAGAAGTGCTAAGTTAAGGTTAAAAAAAGGGCGGCGGGGGGCGGGGGAGCAGGGAGGAAATGAGCAGCTGGCAGATCAAGTCCTCCGCTGGTTCCACTTCCAAATCTGTGCCAAGAAGATCTGTCTGGGAATGGAATTCCTGAGCCACCTGAGCTGGGTCTAGACTGCACAACTGAGGAAAGAGACTGGACAAGAGAAGGGTGCCAGCTGTGTGATTTCACCCAGGGTCTGTCTTGGCCATAAAGCAATGGCTTTCAGGATACTCAACTTTCCATTCCACTCCATTCCATTCTATCCCTACCCTATCCCATTTTAGCCCATCCTAACCTGATTATCCTATCTTATCCTAGTCTGTCCTGTCCCATCCTCTCCCATCCAATTCATCCTACCCTGCCCTGCCCTACTCTGCTCCAAGGTCCTCAGTGCACACCAGGTCTACATTCTGCCCGTGCTCAGAGCAGCAGGCGCTCCCTGAGACCTACCAGCACCTGTTTGTGTCAGTGGGTTGTGCCCTGACAGGCACGAAGCTGTGTTTGTGCGCCTGGAAGAGGTGGTGTGCAGGCCTCGGCGGTGTTACAAACCCTAAGCCCCAAGGAGCACTTCCCGAGGGAGCACCTTGCAACCGCTCCCCCCTGTGCTAGCCCCACCAGGGACCTATGACACAGCAATCCTGGCAAATGACACCAGCCCGCCTGCAAGGATGTGGCTACCAGCCTGGATGCTGGCAGTCCTCCCAAAAACCTGCAGCACCCACTGTCGCCCGACCTAGACACACCAGCCACAAAAGAGCCTCTCTGAGCTAGTGGCTGAAGCCAGACCAGCCAAGAAAGAAAGGGGCAGGAGCAGGCCGCACCTGCCTCAGCCCTTTCAGTAACTGGGGTAGGTTGGACTGGGCCGGGACAAAGGAAGCCTTTGATGACTGTACCATCCGCTCCGCTGCTGAACTGGTGCAGGCGCCACAGCTGGGTGCTCACAGCTCCCTCTCCCCTCCCCACAGGCCTACCTGGAGGATTCTGTCCCAGATGCTGCTCCATTTGGTCGCCCCAGTAAATGGGGGCCCTGGAGACAGCAGAAGATAAAGTCTCTGCTCGCTCAGGGGTTCCCTAGCTCCCTGTGGTCCCCCAGAACTTGGGATACGGAGGAGGCAGCCAGAGCCAAGAGTTCACACTTTTTGTCGGCCACAGACCCTGTCTTCCCACCGTCTGGATTTCAGTGAGAAGGTCCAGGGCTGGTCTGAGGCCCGCTGAGCCAGAGCTGCGGCTGAGTCAACAGGATCAGGCAACACCGGAGTGAAAATTCCTTTTTTGGAAGCCAGGCAGCCACTTCCCAGTTCCTGGGAAGTGACGCAAGGCCAGGGGTAGGGGAGGCGTTGCAGCGAGCGATCCAGAGATCGGATGCCCGGTCCAGGGCTCCGACTGGCCACAATGGAGGGCGGTCGACCTTCCCTCCCTGGGGCCACGGTCCTACCCTGCTTGTCACCGCCACAGTGACTTAGCCCGGAGCGGGGGTGGGGACCAGCGCCCTAGACAGGAAACCGGACCAGGCGCCGGACGGGGCGGGCTGCAAAGCAGCGGCTGCGCAGGGGGAAGGGGCCACGCAGCGGTTGCTCGCTGGATAAACCCACAGAACGAAGGGTTTTCAGGAAGGTCCCTTGGACACCCCGTTCCTTCTGTTTGGAGTCAAACTCGGACACCGGGGGCCCGGGGCGGGGATGGGGTTGCGGGAGAGCAGGGGTTTCTTTTTCTCCAGCGGCTGCAAGGTGTCTTTGTGCTCAGCTGCAGCTGACGGCTAGGAAAGGGAAGGGGCTTTGGGACATTTCTTGGGAGGAAAAAGCCTCTTACAAAATAATTATAGATTTGGGAGGCAGAGATGCCCACACAGAGAAACAGAAAAGAGAGCCTCCACCATCTGGTTCACTCCAACAAATGCCAACAGTGACTGGAGGTTCAAAGCTGGGAGCTAGCAAGTGGTCATGCCGAGGGTGCCAGGAACAAGCACGTCTCTGCTGCTTCTCAAAGTCTCCACAGGGGCAGGACGCTGGAGTCTGGAGCCAGAGCTGGGAATTGAACCTGGGAATCCTTGCAATGGGGTGTACCCCTCCCCACCTCCAGGCTATGGTGTATGGGCCACTGCGATTTCAGGATAGGCTGTGGCCCAGGGCACAGCCATGATGCAATGGGATGTAAAGCAGAGATCTCTGTTGCAGGGGCTGGTGGGGTGGAACCCGACTCCTGCAGGAGGCAGGTCTAACTGGAGACAGACGCCCCCCACAAAAGTACCTGACAGCTCCTCCCTGGGCCAGAGCTCCCTCTCCTGGCCACATGGGGAACCTCGGGCACGCGCCAAGCTTAAGGTTTCACCCAGTTTTAGGATACCCAGGTCCCACACTGGAGTTTCTGGGTTTGGGTCCGGCCTCTGCTCCCGAACACAGTCTCCTGCTAATGGCTTAAGTGAGAGGGTCCCTGCAGTGGGTTCCCAGCACCTGGCTTTGGTCTGGCCCAGCCATGGCCAACGCGGGCATTTGGGGAGTGAGCAGCCAAGAGGGATCTTGGCTTTCTCGGTGTCTACCTTTCAAATCAATGCAAAAGATCTCCCTCTCCGTATATCTGACTTCCCAATAAAAATAAATAAAGTTTTTTTTTGTTTTTTTTTTTAAAGAAAATGTGACTGGGTGTGCTGCTCACAGACCATTAGTACCTTATACCTTAGGGTTCCTGCGACCTGCCTTTAAGGACACACACACACACACACACACACACACACTGTTCGTTTTTTGTAACACCAAGTACCAACACATATATTACAGCCTCTGCACCTGCTAACAGAAGAGTTCTAGGAGTTTGCTTTTACATGCCCTTTCAGATTTTTATTTATTCGAGAAGCAGAGTTAGAGACCGAGACATGTTTTATCTGCTGGCTCACTTCCCAAAGCACTGGGGATGTGCCAGGCCAAAGCCAGGAGCTTCTCTGGGTCTCCCAAATGCATTAGCAGGGAGCTGGGAGGGATGTGGGTCATCCAGGACACGAACAGGCACCTACACGGGGGTGCCATGTGCGGCTTTACCTGCTATGCCACAGCGCGGGCACGTGTTGGCCATTTTAGCAGGCGGTGGAGATGCTGGGAGGATTACACAAGATGCAGTGATCCTCGGCACAGATTTATTAGAGCAGGTGAGAAGAAACCCAACAAGCCTGAGGCAGCTGCCGCCTAGTCCCTTGCCATGACCCCCAAGAGGGGCCCCCTCCCCCGCCTTCCCTTCCAGGCTGTAGCCTCCATCTCAGACCACCCGGCGCCCTTCCTTCACTTGGCCCCAGCCCCGGACCGCCGTGACCAGCAGCTCTTGAGACACGCGGGGAGGTGGGAGTAGGTGACATGAAAGCATCTTCAAGGACCAGCGGGTGAGAGGCGGCGACTCCATCTCGGCGCCCGCGCGCCGCTTATCCGCAGTTGAAGCGGCCCCTGGAGTGGGCCTTCCGAGCCAGCGGCTCTTCCGTCTCACCCAGCAGGCGGAGCATGTAGGAGCCCATGTAGATGAGGAACTGGCCGGTCACCTGGGTGGTGTAGGACAGAAACCGCAGCAGGCTCCTGCAAGAGTGAGACGTGCAGGTGTAAGGCTCCAGGAGCAGAGAGCGGCAGCCTGCAGCCCCCCAGCGCAAAGGGCACGAGCGCAGAGGCGCAGCGCGGCCAGAGCGAGCCCAGCAGCAGGACTGTTCCACATCGCCTTTCTCCTGTCTCGCTTCAAACATCCAGTGGCAAACCTATTTCCTCCCAGCTCAGCACAAAGTTATTCTTGTGGGAATACGGAGATTCTAACCTCTGACAGTGACCGTGGCTCAGGGGCCTGACAAGTGGAACCTGGGGATTGGGGTGGGGTAGGGCGGGCCTGTCCCCTCCTGGGACTGTGTGGGGCCAGCACAGAGCTGCCCTTATCCAGTCAGCAGAAAGAGGGAACTAGCCGGCCCTAAGAACAGCGGGCAGCCCCAGCCCAGGCCGTGCAGGGAGCCGGGCAAGGGCCACCAATGAGTCTCTAAGCCTTCCTGCCCCATCCGCCTCCAGCCTTCTCTCTACTAAAAATCAGCTTTCAAAAGGAGCCAGGTGAAGTTACCAGGAGCCTACAAGCAGGGGAGCGTGGTGCCAATCATAGTGCACTGGGAAGCAACCTTCTCATTTTAAAATTGCCCAGAATTTGTTCAGGGCACGGAGGGGGGCATGGTCTTCCTCGCACTTTCTACCGTTTAAGGTGTGTAGCCACATGTCAGGCCCAACCTCGGGGGTGGTAGTCCCCCGGCCTGCGGGGGGGACGGAGCATGCCCTGGCCTCACTGCAGCGTGACTGAAGTCCACAGTAGTAAGAAGGGTGTGCGAGGGCGTGCGTGGAGGATCAGGAGCCTGCTGGCTGTGATGTGTGTTCTGCCATTCCTGCCCATGCTGTAGAATGAAGGTCTTTAAATACACAGCTCTTGCCCTCAACTGCAACTTGGTCCTCCTCCATGGTCATTATGTGTCGGAATGCATCCAACAAGATAAGCTGGGGTGACAGGTGTCTGTGAGTTCCTGTTGAGAACAGGCTCCAGGAACAGGTGAAGGGCCCCTCGCCCAGAGTGCACCTTGCCCCCAGTGCATCCTAGGAAGTGTCTTCCGGCTTTCCTTGATACAGGGGGAACATCTGTGCTCCATCTAGCCAGCTAACCAAGGACAGACAGTGGTCCTTCTCGATTCCCCATTTCAATAGTGCTTTGATCAAGGCACCTGTTAGCTTTCCTTGAACTCCTGCTTACAGAGGTGACCTTAGTTAGAGTTGTGTCTGAACTAGTGTTTCGCTGAGCGTATAAAAACTGGAACCCTGGAAATAAACTTTGCCAGTGGTCTCATTCATTTTCAGTTGCTCCCCTCCCAGGTTTCCAGCCAGGTAACTTGCAAAGTCAACAGAGGTTGACATATGTGCAGCTTGCATTTCCACTTAAACAACCACCAGAGCAAAAGCAAACAGGTTTGGGCTTAAGACTTTCTGAAACCAGCCTTGGACCTAAGAGTGGAACAACTTTAAGACAGATGCCCCCAAGGGCGGCCGGAGAACCTGTCGCCTGGGCCTTGGGCACAGAGGCGCCAGCTTGGGACGAGCCACCTGTGCCTGCCCCTGCAGCGGTTTCTGACTCCTGAAGTTGGCCCTTCCTCCCCTCCCAGCCTTCCCCAGGTGGCTTGGTACCTCAGCACGGCCTTCAACCCCGTGCAGCGGATGTCATAGGATACGGAGTACATCTCATACATGGTGGCCTTCACGTTGAGGCAGCCGATGAAGTCCTTGGGGCTGAGCTTGTACAAGTCGAAGGTGACCCGGGCTATTCCTGACTTCTTGGGCTGCTGACAAGCTGGAAGGTACTTGCCCTGTAACAGCGACAGCAGGGACACATGTCAGGAACCTGCACGGCTGGGACCCCCAACTTCCTAATTCACACTGTGCTACCATCAGACTCCTCTAAACGTCGGCCTGGGAGCCAAGCTGCTCACCATCTGAGTAACACGTCTACCTGCCTCAGGTACGTACACAGCCACCGTGGCCACAGGTGCCCCCATCTGCTCCTGGCTCAGAGACGCGGGAAGGGGCTGGGCTTTGACAGGTGGAGACTCACCCTGCTTCTGGAGGCCATCCCTGGTCAGGTAGCACCCTGGGGAGCCACATCACACACAGCCTTACTGAAGCAGGCAGCACGGTTTCCAAGTGGCTTCAGGACAGAAAATGCCAGAATACGATGCTCACATACCAGGGCTTCCGGGGGACCCCAGTTTCCCCACAAATGCCCTGGTAGAAATTGCAGGGAGATGTCAGGGCAGGCCTGCTTGCTCCAATCTGCCGCCACCATGGGGGACACAGCATCTTCTCCACGAATAACTCTGCATGAAGAAGCAAAGCTATTCCCCTGGGTGTCAGTGTCCATTCAAATTCAGCCGAGTCCAGGTACGTCTGAGCAGCAGCGCGGATGTCTGGATCCCCCAGCCAGGTGGCTGTGACTGGGGCAACCTCTGCCCGTCCAGGCTTCTTGCTGGGGATCCTAGCTCTCCATCCACTGCTACTAGATGGGGGGAAGTCCCGGGTTTGTGGGCAGCCAGAGTGCCAACAGGTGTCAGGTAGTGGGAACTAGGCTTCAATGCCCATTGACACGTATGAGAGCTGACTGGGATGTGGGACAGGCTGGACCAGTCTGCTGTACATACTGGCAAGCATGGGAACCAGGACAGGGGGCAGATTTGGTGCGGGCTATTGCGGGTTGCTCTTACTAGGCTACAACTCCCACTGGTTTGCATGAAGCCTGAGTGTGTGGTGGGCAGGATCGGGCTGGACAGCAACACCCATTGGTTTGCGTAGAAGACAAGGCTGGAGACAACTGACCCAGCAATTGCACTAACAGTGTGTGTGTAGGCCGATGTGGGCAACCAGCTGTGCCAGACCCTGTACCGGCATGCACATACAGGAATCAGGTCTGGGATCACCTCAGAGGAAGTTTCTGTGGGAATCCTCACAACTCAACTGCTGGACTCAGGATTCCAACCATGGAGGAAACTGCAAGTTCTATGGTCTGACTGTGGACTGCATGTGTCGGAGCTGGGCCTCCTCAGTGGCTTTGACGGAGCAGTGGACAGAATATGCAGATGCACATGGAGGATATGGCAGTCCACTGGAGCCTGCAGAGGACACCTGCTACCATGACAGAGGATGGAGGACAGAACAAGTCGATCAACTACCCCAGCCAAGTGTTGGCGGTGAGGGGCAAACGGAGACTCTGAGGCAAACTATGCTAGCCAGTGGATTCTGGAGAGATTTCATCGTGATTGGAATGGCAAGATCGGCAGCAATACAGAAAACTGTTGAACTGTCCAAACCACTTGAGCGGGACCCTCAGAGCAGGCCCCACATTGGGGACCCTGGGATGGGTGGGAGGCTGGGTGTGGCTTCTCCCCTTATCTCCCCCTCCCCTCCCCAGGTACAGGAAGGAAAAAAGAGAATGTGAAAACAATGGTCTCACCCACTTTCCTCCAGCCCTTGACCCTTCGCACCCTAATCAACTATGTAAAAATTATCAAACATAAGTTCAGACCCTAGAGTTCCTGCATCTCACGAGCCTCTGGGGCTGAGGGTAGCTGGGACAGCGAAGGTCAAGTGCATTGTCTTAAGCAAGCAAACATGGCTGGGACAGAAGCGCACAGTCCCTGGAAGTCCCTGGAAGTGCCAGGAACAGCCTGGCTGCTTTATCTCTGCTTCTGTTGCCCAGGACAGTCCTGCAGGTTGTCGCAGCTGCTCAGGGCGGATGTATGAGGGGCGCTGAGGCCTGGATAGGGCGCTAACCCTTGCTCACTGAGCACACCTCACTGTGAAACCTCACGTGCATGGAGTGGGGGAATTCTCACCCCTGTTCCTGGCACGGCCCTTCTCATGGCCCCACTTTCGTTTTCAGCTTTTGAAAGCTTTTCCCTGACTCTCCTGGGGGCATTTCTTGTAGTCTCAGATCTGAATTAAGATGCCCTCAGAGCGCCAGGGACACTGTGGCACAGTGCGTTAAGCTGCTGCCTACAGTGCTGGCATTCCACCACATCAGTGCTGGTTCAAGTCCCAACTGCTCAACTTCTAATCCGCCTCTCTGCTTATGGCCAAAAGCAGAGGAGGATGGGCCAAATCCTTGGGCCCCTGCACCCATATGGGAGGCCTGGAAAAGGTTTCAGGCTCCTGGCTTTAGCACAGATGTTGCCTCCCGCTGCGCGTGGGTGGGGGTGGTCACTCCCACTGGGCCCTGGACACACTGCAGCGTGCAGGGGGTCCCCCACATGCCGCGACTGCAGGAACAGTGGCCTGGTCCCTGATTCCTGCCTGCAGGCTCTTGTCCGAGACACACTTGGGGATATCTTCACATACAGGAGACACACAAAGATGGAGAAATAAGATCAAGACACACAGAGGTGCAAGGCCGAGATCCACATCGCGAGGACCCGTCCGCACCTCTCCCCCGCCCTGCCCCATTGTCCCGCCCACCCCGGAAGAGGCCGTCTGCACCCAACACTGCTCCCTGGCTGTCTCAGTTCTCGGTATACGCCAATTTCTCTTTTTCAATATGTATATATATATATGCATATTTATTCTATTTATCAGAGAGAAAGAGAAATCTTCCATCTGCTGGTTCCCTCTCCAAATGGCTGTAACTGCCAGAGCCAGGGTTGGACCGATGCCAGGAGCCAGGAGTCTCTTCTGGGTTTTCCACATGGGTGCAGGGTCCCAAAGGTTTGGGCCATCCCCCCGCTGCTTTCCTGGGTCATTAGCAGAGAGCTGGCTCAGAAGTGGAGCAGCTGAGACATAAACGGAGCCCATATGGGAAGCCAGTGCATGCAAGGCAGAGGCTTCGCCTACTATGCCACTGTGCCAGACCCAGTGCACGTGTATCTCACACGTGGTGCTGCTAATGCTTGTGAAAGGCCTACAAATGGCTTAACACAGAGGCTGGCAAAATGTAGAGACACCTAGGGGTCTGGAGACTCTTTGAGGGAAGTGAAGGGTTGACACTATTTTTTTTTTTAAATAATCACTAAAAGGTAATTTACTCTTTCTGTTCTCACAAGTAACAATTTCCTAAGGCATAATCTAGTGAATTCGTATTTTTTTAGATGATCAGCGGCTGGAATCACAGAATCATCCTAGGGAAAGGGATGCACTCCACCTGCAAGACAGATCAGCAGACTGGATGCTGCTGGCATCCCTCGGGTCTCCACCCAGCCCTCAGCCCCTTGGCAGCCACTGCTTGGTGAGTAGGGATAGCCTGTCCTCTGGCAAGGCCGCGGGTGCCCTCATGCTCCTCCCAGGTGCGTGACTGTGGCGGGACAGGCTGCCTGGAGGCACCCCAGGAGAGGATCCACGACAGGGGGTCAGTCAGGGAAGCCGAGGGGACAGTGTGGCTGCTGTTCACCTGGGCTTTGGCGAGATTCACAAAAGCGTAAAAACATCCCTCATTCGTTTTTGGAAACTAGCCACTCATCCTAACATACATGGCTTATCTGTGTTCAGCTAGTATCTGCAATAAAATGAAACACACTTTTGAATATCTCAAATAGTTCTAATTTCTTTCTAAAATGATCTATTTGAAAGGCAGAGAATTTCTGTCTACTGGCTGTCTCCCCGTAATGCCCACAATAGCTGGTGTGGGCCAGGCGGAGGCCAGGCGGAGGCCAGGCGGAGGTCAGGAGGAGGCCAGAAGCAGGAACTCAGCCCAGGACAAGGGACTAAGCACCTGAGCCCTTATCCCATGCCTCCAACAGGTGCACCAGCAGAAAGCTAGACTCGGGCAGAGCCATGGCTCAAACTCTCCCCTTCAGGATGCAGGCCTCCCAAGAGAGGTCCCAACCACCGTGCAAAATATCCGGATCATTTTCATTCCTAATATGAAAATTACCTATCACTTACAGCATCTCAAACCTGGCACCACTGCCCCGTGGCGCGACATGTGTGTGGTCTAGGGGGCGGTCTGTCAAGAAAGTCAGCAGCACCTCTGGCATCTGTCCACTAGATGGCAGTGACATCACTGTAAGGTACCAGGGGCCTTGGAATGGTCATGGAAAAACATAGAGGAAAGCTTCAACTCCAGGTTCAAAACTTTTCTGTGCCCAAATAAGCTCTTCGTTTCATTCCATTTCCCACGAATCTCTTGAAGCTGATCCTGTGGGTGCCCTTTCATCCATTTTTCCCCGGTACGGATTGCCGCAAGTATTAGGGTCAGATAACGGTCCCGCTTTCGCCTCCCAGGTAAGTCAGGGGATGGCTCAATAAAATCCTCATGCTTATTGCAGCCTCTGCGTTTGACTTGTTTTGCCAATGATGGTGTGGCTCCCCTCCACGGGGTTGGACTCTCCCTGAGTCTAACTCTCCCTAAGTCTTGTTCGGCACCATGAGGCTGTCACAGCACCTGTGGCCACTTCCTAGCTAACGCCTAGTTCCTCAGAATCCTTTGTCTACAGCCATTTGGCCCAAGTTCGTGGAGATAGTACGGTTCCTGGAAACACTTACAAAGATCCCTTTGAGGTGAACAGCTACAGTACCAGCCAAGCAGTGAGCAAGGCTGCTTCTACAAGAGCGCTGCGTGTGCAGTGGCTACTGGGAACCATGCTGGTTCTTACCGGCGTCCACTTCTGTCCCTTCTCCAAGATCATGAAGTGCGTGTTGTCCCCGAGGGTCTGGAAGAACTCCTCCGTGTCCACCACAGTGCCATCTTCCTCCAGCACGAGCGTGACCAGTCCAGTGGTGATGACCAGAGCCTCCAGGGTCTAGACTCGCAGTGCGACAGAGAAATGGGCTGAGGTGACGAGTTCCCACTGGACCACTCCCCCAGTGACACTTAAGCTGCCATTGTCTGAAGCGCTCGCTGGCTGACTTGCATAAAACTTACACAAAATGCAGGGCCAGTGTAGCTAATTCTCTCTGTGGCACTGGCATCCCACAGGGGGTGTCAGGTCCAGTCGCAATCGCAATGCTGTAATACTGCAATACTTTTGACCCAGCTCTCTGCTTCTGATCTGGGAAAGCAGTGGAGGATGGCTCAAGTCTTTGAGCCCCTGTACCACCCACACGGAAAGCCCAGAAGAAGCTCCCGGAGCCCAATTTTGGACCAGGCCAACTCTGCTCATTGCAGCCATTTGGGGAATGAGCCAGCACACGGAAGGCCTATCTCTCTTTTCTCTTTAACTCTGAATTCCAAGTAAAAATAATCACTCTTTTTTTTTTTTTTTAAATTTATACAATATGCATGAGAGAGAGAGAGAGAGCCTTCATTCATTGATTCACTCCCCAGCAATGGCTAGGACGAGACCCAGAAACTGGATTCAGGCTTCCCACCTGGGTGGCAGGACCCAGACCATCTCAGCCATCACCACTGCCTCCCAAGGACCACAGCAGCAACAAGCTGAGTCAGGAGCAACAGCTGGGGCTAGGCCAAGGCCAGAAGCTGTGGACTCAGGTGGGTGGCAGGGGCCCAATCCTTCAAGCCACCACCAGTCTCCCAGGGGCGGCGATGTAGCACTGCAAGTTGGAACTAGACACTCACCGACGCCTACTGTCAGTGGTGGCCTGCGAGGCCAAAATAGCCGCCCCGGCTAGACCTGAATTATAAATTCAAGGCAGTCTATGCTCAAAGAGAAGTGAAGATTAATTTTTTTAAAAAAAGATTGACGTATTTGACAGGCAGAGTGATGGAGAAAGAAAAAGGCAGAGAGAAGCTAAGATTTGTAAAGGGCCTATCTCCTGAAGAGCCATGAGCAAGGCTCTCCCTGCAGCACTCTGAGCTCGTCCGTACTTGGATAACGACAGGTGGCGTCCTGCCCAGGGGATGGGCGGAGGCGCCTCAGCCTCAAGGGCTTCCCCAGGCCCGGCCACTGCTGACTGCCCACGCGCTGCTCCCCTCTGGGGGCGTCAGCTGTCTGAGTCACCCTTCACTGGGCGTCTGGGACGCCTCCTCACCGCGTGGGCCAGGGCACCGTTCTAGGTCCAGGCCCATTCCATCGGGGTCTCCGTAACCTAAAGCTGACTGGCCACACCCGGGGACTGGAGGTACCTTGCTGATGAGCTCTTTCAGGCTGCTGGCCATCACCCCGCGCCGGCTGCTGCGGTCATGGTTGGAGACGCGGAAGGGCCGCGTTGAATGCATGAGTGGCGTGAGGAGCACCTTCTTTGTCTGTGATCCCACAAACGTCAGGGGCCTGTACACGGAGACAGAAGACATACCATCTCTGACATCACTTGAAAACAGCATTTCAGCTCCTTTATTTGACAGGCAGCGCTGGGCAAGGCTGAAGCCAGGAGCCAGGAGCTTCTAGGTTTCCCACATGGGTGCAAGGATCCGAGTACTTGGGGCCATCTTCCGTTGCTTTTTCAGGCATGTTAATAAGGCACAGGATCACAGCAGAGTAGCCAGGACTTGAACCAGTGCCTACATGGGATGCCGGCACTGCAGGCACAGGCTTAATGTGCAATGCCTCAGCTCTGGTCCCACACCTGTGATCTGTTAATGCCCCTTTCCATGAACTTGTAAATCTCTTGTATGCAGCTTAGCACGCTCTATGTCAGCTACAGATCTACACTCACACAGAGGAAGAAATCACACTGAATTAAAAAAACAAAACCATCTTTATCTCTAGCCAGAACATTCAGAGTCCTTGAAACCGTTAGAGAGGGAATGTAAGGGCATCAAGCTTCAACAACAAATAAGAGTTATCATCCTCACAATCATGGATGGGTTTTAGAGCTTAAAAAAAAAATCCATGAAAATAATTTCTTTCAGCTAGGAGAGGCAAGGAAGTAGACACACAGATGCATAAACGGGTGCCTGTACACACACTAAGCCAGATCACTACAGAAGCCGGACACTGGCCACTCCTGGAATCAGCCGAGTTTCTGAGATGAACTTGGGATAAGCCAAGCACAAGAGAAGCTCTGTCCTCTCTGCTCCTAGAATCCCTCAAAGGGAGAGAACCTTAGGCTCCTGTCACATGCCCTTTGCAGCCCGTGCATGCCTTCCCGGGGATTAATATTACAGGTGGGGCCCGGCGCGGTGGCGCAAGTGGTTAAAGGTCCTCGCCTTGCACGCCCGGGATCCCATATGGGCGCCGGTTCTAATCCCGGCAGCCCCGCTTCCCTTCCAGCTCCCTGCCTGTGGCCTGGGAAAGCAGTCGAGGACGGCCCAAAGCTTTGGGAACCTGCACCCGCGTGGGAGACCCGGAAGAGGCTCCTGGCTTCAGATCGGCATACTATCGGCCCGTTGCGCTCACTTGGGGAGTGAATCATCGGACGGAAGATCTTCCTCTCTGTCTCTCCTCTCTGTATATCTGCCTTTCCAATGAAAAAATAATAAAAATAAATCTTTAAAAAAAAATATTACAGGTGATGCCCTAAGCTAGGCTAAGGTGCTTAGCACGTCACACACGCAGGGTCACTCTTTTCTTTTTTCAGGGGGGCGGGGCTCGTCCGGGATGGGTCACTCTTTTCCTCTACGAAAGTGGGTAATTAATCATCAACGTCTGGAACGAAGGTAAGTCAATCAAAAATCTTAACTTTCCCTTTTCCTAAGAACTGGGTCACAGATGCTAATCAAGGTAGATCTGTATCCGTTTTAGAAGACTCGACAATTCAAAAATGCCTGAGAGCAGGTAGGACGCTGTTAGGACTCTCTGCTCTCACACTGGAGAACCTGGGCTCAGGAACCTGGGCTCAATCCCTGACTGGCTTCCTGTGATGCAGACTCCGGGAGGCGGAAGGCAAGAGTTCAAACCTTTGGGTCCTTGTTCCCCCCCACGTGGGAGATGCAGATGGAATTTCTGGCACTCGGCTTCGGCCTCGCCCACCCCTAGCCATCGCAGACATTTGAGGAGCGGAGGGCAGCTGTCATTGCAGCTGTCTGTATCTGCTTCTCAAATAAACACAGAAGAAAAAGAATATGAATGGACCCGGAGCAATAGCCTAGTGGCTGAATTCTTCTTGCATCCGTTGGAATCCCATATGGGTGCTGAATCGTATCCTGGCTGTTTCACTTCCCATCCAGTTCTCTGCTTGTGCTCAGGGAAAGCAGTCAAGGATGGGATCCTGCACCTGCACAGGAGACCCAAGAGAAGCTCCTGGCTCCTGGTTTCGGGTCAGCTCAGCTCTAGGCATTGCAGTCACTTGTGGAGTGAACCATCAGATAGATCTTTCTGTCTCTCCTCTCTGTAGATCTGCCTTTCCAATAAAAAAATTTTTTTAAAAGATTTATTTATTTTTATTACAAAGTCAGATATACAGAGAGGAGGAGAGACAGAGAGGAAGATCTTCTGTCCGCTGATTCACTTCCCAAGTGCCTGCAATGGCCGGCACTGCACCAATCTGAAGCCACGAACCAGGAACCTCTTCCGGGTCTCCCACACGGTGTAGGGTCCCAAAGCCCTGGGCCATCCTCGACTGCTTTCCCAGGCCACAAGCAGGGAGCTGGGTGGGAAGTGGAGCTGCCGGGATCAGAACCGGTGCCCATATGGGATCCTGGCGCGTACAAGGCAAGGACTTTAGCCACTAGGCCACGCCGCAGGGCCTGAAAAAATTTTTTTTAAAAGAACATTAACATAAACACAGAAAACCAATCATGGGAAAATCAAAATAAGATAGTTTTCTTGGGGGAAAAAAATCAACAGCTTTTGCTTATTTCATTTTGGTTCTCCACAAGAAAATAATAATCATAAAATGTGCACAGATGTGAATTGTCAACAGGAAGCTTTAGTTGTCTAACACACACACACGTGTGTGTGAACAGGCTCAGGGCCCCTGCGGACAGTCCACAGAGGAGGGGTCTCGGGGCAGGAGGCTGTCCCGAGCCAGGCTGGCACAGAGTTCATTCCCCGCAGCAGCCATCATTGCCCAGAGTGGTGACACGGCTGCTGAGTGCCAAGAATTCAGACGGGCGGGTATACAGAGCTCTGACAGCAAGAAGCCCACAACGACCTCTGACACAGTGCTGCAGGCTTTTAACCCCAAAGAGCATGCAATCCATTGGAAAATAATTTCCCCGAGGGAAAGAGGCACCTGGCTGCTGGCCTCAGGAGGCAGCCCAATCGCTTCTCGGCCTTTTGTCCAAGATCAAGTGTAGGAGGCAGCCCAGGCGTTCGGACACCTACCGAGCATGATGCCAACGATTGTGGACGTGGCAACCAAGGGGGCAAGGTCTCAGGCATTACTCACCGCTGGGCACTGCCACCTGTGTGTCCCACAGGTGCCCTTTTCATCCCGTCATGTGGTCCTCCCTGGGACTAGCACCTGTGCCAGCAACCACCTGTTCTGGTGCTCAGTGCTTGGCCATTGGATGAATACTCATGCAGGTATCTTCACGAGATGAAACAAAGGGCTTCACTGTTTTGAGGATAATCTTTGTAGCAAGGTTCATTGCCGATGCTGAACATCCATCCTTAACTTTGCCCAGGGTAGGGATCCAATTTGCATTGACTGAACTCATCTGGGTGTGGTCCCAGTCTTGTCCACCAGGGGGCCCCTACGAATCATGCCACGCGGGTGGGATAAATCAAACTGGTAAGGCAGCCTACCAACTCCCTTAAGTGATGCCTGACCTAGTACTATTTCTTGAGCAGATCTGGGTAACACTCCGGCCACAGGCTACCTCTGTCTGTTGTGGCAAGTGAACACCTTCTGACTGCCCAAGATGGTACGTCCGTCTATAAGTATATCCCCCCACCCCTGCCCTGCAAATCACACTCAGTCACATCTATGAATCTCAGGATGCTTTGGGGTCAGGGACCTTCCTGCCTTACGCAGCCAGGTCTCATATACCACGTTTCTGAGACATCTAGATGAAATACCTGCCCCGGCGGCCGGAGGTCATCCCCCACCCCCTCTTCTGTCATTTATGTATGTTTTAATTTCCACCTTGACTGGCATTCCTTGTGGATAAGGTTTTTTGGTCTCAGACTCTGTAAGGTCTAGCTTTAGTATGACACACCTGGCTTCGAAATGGCACTGTCTCTAACCTGCAGCCCTACAAATGGATGGGCTCTCAAAAAACTTGCCAGTATTCGGAGGTTCTTCGTATGTAGCTTGTCTGTGACTTCTCCCTACACTTAAGCGGGAAAAAAATGATATTCCAGAATCAGAACCCAAGCTGTTAACAAGAATATGGTCTGAAGTATATTCATCCAACATCACCTCGGAACCACGTGTGTGTGAACACTTGCTGGGGCCAAGAAAATGAGCAGCACATCCTTAGGCTAAAGTGTTGTCCCATTTCACAGATGTGAATGCTTGAGGCTCACAGAGGCTTCTCAAGGCCATCCAGGTAGTAAAGCAAAGAGACAGGTCATGACCTTAGGTCAGTTCAAAGCCAGGACTAATACTAATATTATTATTACAGTTGTTGTTGGTGTTAGTGGGTCCAGGGCCATCCACCCTCTGAACTTCAAGTCCCAAGCCATCCATGCCTGTGTGAAAACCAGAGGAGCTCTCCTAGGGTTGAAAGTACACTACAGCTCGCAGCCCCCAGACCTTTCCCCCTTTTATGCAGTCATGTACAATGTTTCCAGACAGGCCATGGTAACTGCAATGTGTTTGTTAGGGGGTCTGGGTCCCTCCTGGGGCCACCCATCAGAACAAGCTGGGAGCCCTGGTAGTGCCTGAGGCAGCCATGGGACTGGCCCAGTTGCTGAACCTTTGCCTGGATTCTAGGGTGTTGTACCAGGCTGCTCGGTTACACAATATGGGGCAATGCTGTGCGCAGGCTGCTCAGCTAATGCCTGGGACATGTCAACCCCGCTCCCGTCCCTGGTGGCCCTCTGGAGCAGGCGCACTGAGAACCTAGGCTGGTCTCCAGTCACAGCAGGAAAGCAGCTGCTGAGGTCCCTATGGGGAGGAGAGACAGACAAACATGACAGCCCCTTTTGCACACCTGTGCCTGCCTAACAGCTTATGAGAGAAGTCTTACGGAAGTAGAGAAGTTACTAAAGTTAGCAAGCGCTTGAAGCAGCGCTTGCTTTCTTAGCATGGTGCCCGCTCCATCACGTGAGGTCTTCCTCAATTTGGGAGAATGCTGGACTTCACCGATAGGAGCCTTTCTTCTCCTCCAAAGCAGGCAGTCACTGCCGCCATGTATGAGGCCGTCTAGAACCTTCTCAATGAGGCAACCCCGTTTGCACTCACACAGCATCTCATCCACCACAGCACACCATCTGTTTTCTGGGTAAGAGACTACGATGACATCAGAGGCACCAGAAAACGAAGCAGTCGTGTTTTTGAATGTTAGTTCCAGCCTCGGGTGGCCAAGAGGGCAGCTCTGACCGAGCCGGTGGCGGCCCCACCACCTCCTCATTGGACCCAGCCACTCACCCCTTCCCAAGGACCGATGCCCCAGTGACCTAACACAGATGATTAACCGAGTCCTGCTGCCTCTTCACTCGCCCAAGGTAAGCACTGGCAATCACTCTGGTCCTCCCTGCCTCGCCTTCTAGATAGCCATCACTGATTATAAAAAAAAAGACACATGACCTATTGTTTCTCCTGCCCGTGGCATTGCCTAACCGAGAACCGGATCCCTGCTGGAGAGGCAGCCATGCAGTACACGGAAGCCACACGGAAGACAGGAACGTTAAACCAAGCACTGCACCAAGGGATATGGTGACTGACGGGTCCAGTTCCGTAAGGTCACGACTACCTCGTATGTACTAAAACAAAGGGCTAAACGATCCTCTAGGCACACCAGGCCTATTTTAAAACTACTGCCCGAGTACTCTGTTCCAGCTAAGTGAACAGAATGTTAATACAATTCACTTCTAACCCTCTGGATAGAAGGATTGATTGATAAACACCAGCCATCAGCAAAATACCCATGGTGTGTTGCTATTTTCTGCCCCACGTGATAATGAGATTCATGAAAACGGACATCAGTGTATATTCTGGAGACAAGCAGAGTGGCGTAGTCGATTGGGCCTCTGCCTGTGGTGGTAGCATCCCATATGGGTACTGGTTCAAGTCCCAGCTGCTTCACTTCCAATCCAACTCCCTCTTAACGTGCGTGAGAAAGCAGCAAAGGATGGCCCAAGTCCCTCAGCCCTGCACCCACGTGGGAGACCCAGAGTAAGCTCTTGTCTCCTGGCTTTCGATCAGCCTAGTTCTGCCAGTGGCAACCCTTTGGGGAGCGAACCAGTAGGTGGAAGAGCCCTCTCTCTGTCTCTCTCTCTCTCTCTCTCTCTCTCTCTCTCTCTCTCTCTATGTGGATAGCCCTGCCTTTCAAACAAAAATAATAAAACAAATCTATTTTTTTTTAAGTTTGACACAAAGTCATTCAAAACCCAGGCACAAGAAGAATCTTCTAAAACATTGGAGGAAAATACATGCTGAGAAAAAGCTATGTGGATTTTGGGTTTCATATTTGGGCACTAGAATCAGTATCTTTCGGCTTCAGTCATCTACGGAGTTTTTGCAGGGCCCTCGTGTGTCGTCACTGAGAGGGCTCCGGGTCCTGTTCTCAGAGCTGTCACAAGGGAGTGACAGCTGCTGCCGAGTTCCTGTGAACGCGGGGACAGACAATCCTATGAAACAGGAAGGAAAACAGCTCGGCCAGAGGGAAACAAACAAGGAAAGGGCGCACACAGCGAGGCCACAAACCAGGAGCAGCGTCCCAACTTCACGGAACACTCGGGCAAGCTGTGACGCTGCCTGTCTCCCAGGAGGGAGGGCGGACAGTGGGGTCTTTGTGTTGCTTTCCGCCTGAGGACAGCGGGCGGAGTGTGTGGCACCGAGCAGGAAGACACACAGTGACAGTGAACGGACACGAGCTTGTCTCCACTTGCACAAACTGAACCCCCACGGATCAGAGAAAAAGCCAGCTTCAAGCTGTGGGTCGAGGCTTCTTCTGAGGGTACTGCAGGATAAACGCAGGCCCAGGAGTCAGGTCTTGGTCGAAGAGAAAACACAGTGTCCCTGGCAGAGAGTGGGGGGTCCTGTGATGGAACATAGGGGTGTACCCAAATCTGCATATATACAACATGCAATATAGGCAATATAACATTGCACACCCTCCTGTATACTTTAAATGGCTCCTAGATGACCTGTAACACCTTATGCAATGTGAATTTCTTCTCTGCCGTCAGTTGTAGGAGCAGCCCAGCTGGCCACAGTGCCCCATCATCCCACACAAGGTCAGGATACTTCTGTGTTGCACGTGGGCCTACCGTGACAAGGACCAGTCAAGCTCAGGGCAGTGTCCACACCAGGCTCTCAAAAACACTCAGTATCAAAAGAGGGATTAGCCAATCATCAGAAAGCCACTGAAATGCCCCTAAAATCAGAGCTGAGATTCAAAAAAAAAAAAAAAAAAAAAGCAGAAAACCCAATTCCTTATCCTATTAACCCAGAAGATGGCTCAGATTTGTACGGAAACAGCAGCTGTACAAAGCCTGGGGTTAAAGCAAAGATGGCGAGGACGGTGACAGAAGCAGCTACTGTGCCCGAAGCACAGCGTATACTATCAGCCCCATGACGCCGTCAGCGTTTGGCCAGAGGGCCATCAGCCAGTCACTAGGACAAAGGCGACTGTGTCCATGGCGATGAACACCTCTGGGGCAGTCCTTGGGCGTCCAGGGACTTGGCTCTGGGAATGACAGCTGATAGCCCAACAGCCAGTTTATGATTCTCTAAGTGCTGACAAGTCTCTACTTTTTTTGTCCATCGTGCGTACTGATTGATTCTCCTCCTCGGAACAGTGCAGCTATTGACACACAAGAGTGACGGCACAGGATAGCCGGTGGTCAGTAAGGAGAGAGTAAGGAGGCAGCAGCCAGGGACCCCAGAACTACCAAATGGTCTCCTGTACGGCCTTTGACTCTTGAGCCCCAACAGGCTCCTGAGGAAGCAGCAAAGACAAAGTCTTACATCCCCGGACAGGATCGACAGCTGAATCTGGAAATAGATTCCAGAAACTCCGGCTGGAATCTGGAGCTTGTGTCTGGAAGCACAATTCTTTTTTTTTTTTTTAGCTTGTTTTTTTGGTTTCCCTAGGAGTGTGACTGGGAGAGGAGTGGCCTTTTCTGATCTGCCAGTACCACAGAGGCCAGCCACTTCTACTGGACACTTGACCCTGGGGAGCGACCTCCCCTCCCCAGCCATGGTAGAGCCCGGGGAGTTATCCCTTCCCCTGAGCTGGGCAGACCTGTGACTGGTCAGTGTGCTCCGGACAGCAGCAGTCCTGCTTCGAGGTGCAGGAAGGACCCGAAGAGCAGGTGCGAGAGCCTGCTGCTTGGGAGTGACGCTGCGTGGCTGGTGCAACTGGAGAGAGGAAGAAAGACACAGAAGAACCCAGGACCCTGCCTTTCTAAGATGCCAGTAGAGCTACTGGCATTTTACCAAGTGGTTAAGAGTTTGTACCCTACGTTCCATACCTGGTTATGGCTCCCAACTCCAGCTTCCCGCTAACACAGACCCTGCGAGACAGCAGTGACGGCTCAAGGTTCCCGTCACCCCTAGAAAGCCCTGTACAGAGTTCCAAGCCTCTGGATTCTACCGCATCCAGCCCTAAACACTGGGAACATTTGGGGATCGAATCAGTGGACCCGTGGCTGGGAAGTATCGCTCTGCAAGTAGCGGGCCCCACAAATACCCCCCTTCAAACGGAGACTCTATGAGGGACTATGTCAATCAGTGGATTCTTCAAAGACCTCACAGTGCTTGGAGTGGCAAGATTGGCAGCAATTTATAACTGGTGAACTATCAAAACCACTTGAGCAAGACCCTTGGAGCATGCCCTACATGCGGGACCTGGGGTGGGTGGGTGGGAAATTGGGTGGGCCTTCTCCCTTAATACCCCCCTTTAAACATGAAGGAAACAATATGGAAATAATAATCTTACCCACTTTCCTATAGCCCTTGAACCTTTTTACCCCAATTAACTATGTAAAGATTGTCAAAAATATAATTTAAAAAAAATAACAAACAAACACACACCCCCCTTTCCATGTCCACAGCTGATTTTTCTAAGCTGGGGGATTTCCTACAGCTCAGAAGCCTGGCGCCACTGGTTTTGTTACCTGATTTTTCCTCTTTGCAGCACCCTGGCGGCTGAGAACCTGCGCCTTAGAGCTCACCCAGGGCGGCTCATCCGTGCCCAAGCACTTTGTTAATTTTTGGAGAAACACGACTTCCGTCTGCCTTCCCCCGCACCTTATATCCATAAAGCCACAACCACTGGTCCACCTTAAGGATTTTTACCAATACCGGTTTAGCTCTGTCTGGATGTGAAAATTACCCAGAGAAGAACATGAATGTGGCGCCACAAGGCCATTAGAGCCGAGGGAAGGTCAGTGGCCTCTGGTCCCTCATCTGGGCAGCGTTACTGGATTCAGAAGAAGAGACATGGAGGCGTACTGCACCCCCGCCTCACACCCCCCAGCCAGCACCAAACCTCACCTTAGAAACCTGGGTGGGCACAGCAGGAGGGGTCAGGACCTGAGATTACCCCCAGCTCAGCTCACGACCCAAGGATCCCAGAAAGCTCTGCCGCGTCTGCAAACCGGATCAGTCTTCCGGAGATGGGATCCTGGCTTGCACAAGCGGCCGTGACAGTGGCACTGGAGGTGGCACTCCCTCCCTCATCACCGCCACCTGGCTCGGCGGACGCCCACGCACCTCAGGAGTGCCACACCCGGGCACCTGCTGGAGGCTGGAAGTAGGCGCGGGGCTGGCACCGGCCGGCGAGCGTGGGTGCACGCTGCGTTACTGAGTGCGTGCGTGGGATCCGGGCACACGGGAACGCGGGGGCGCAGGAAGTTCTCAGGGAATTGAGAACTCGGTCGCTGGGCTTTGAGGGCCTAAGGGGGACGCTAGGCGCAGGAAAAGGCAGGACATAGAGGACAGGTACGTGGGGTACGCGGGCGCTGCCGGGGGTCCGGGAGCACGGCACTTGCCTGAAGAGGACTCCGGCGTAGTCGCGGGCGACCTCCATGGCGCGGGACCTCCTGGCAGGCTGGGCGCGCAGTCTGCGCCCGCCCGCGCCTCCTCTTAAAGCGTTGCCGCCGGCCCCTCCCAGTCCCGTCCCGCCCCGGTTCGGCCTGCCCGCCGCCAGCCTGGCTGGAACCTCGGCTTTGCGCTTCTGCGCTCTGGGTGCCCGCGGTCATCCTCGGTTGACCCGCTCGAAAGGGGGCGCGGATTGCCGTCCCTTGGAGAGACTTGGCTGCGCAGACCTGTACCCAGAACCCTCGAACGCAGGCTGTTCCACTTGTCAGCCTGCGTGTGTATTGCGCGTTTGGAGGTTGGGCCACTGGGGACAACTCCAATCCCCCGAGGGCATCGCTTTGGCTGTGGAAGAGCCGAGGTGTTGGTTTTGAACCCCCGGCCACAGGTGACGGGAAGCGAGGAGCCCCCAGCGTCTGGCTGAGAGCAGGTGCCTCGCAAAGAGCTGGGGGTCTCGGGCACTTCTCGCCATGCCCAGAGAACCAGGGCTCCATAGCAGGAGATGTCCGCGGGCCGGTGTCAGCCCGGCGCAGGAGGCGGGAAGTTCCTGGGGGTCCAGCAGAACTCTGACGCATATGGGTCTTCAGAGCCAGTACCTCACCCTGCAAAGTATAAACGTTCTGGGCGGAGACTGAACTCCCTGCACTGAACCTGTGCTTCCCAAGCTGGAGCTCCACCGCCTATTGCTGGTTGCAGCTGGCCTGATGGTCCCTGTGGACGCCCCCCTCCTTCCCGCTCTACATCCTTCCGTCTCAACTTGAAAACAAACAAGGTACGCTCCCCACCCTACCCCCACCCCCAGGGGCCCCACTGCAAGTCTCACAGGATTCACTGGAATGTTGGAAAGCCTTTCTCTGCCCAGAGTTGGGACAGTGGGGAGGGGACTCACTGCAACCTTAAGACGTTGACTGTGGGGTGCTGGTGCTGTGGGCCCCCCTCCCGCCCCGTGGTAGTAGCATTGCATCCCATCAAAGCACTGGTAACATTTCAGCTGCCCCACTTCCTATTACAGCTCCCTGTTAATGTGCCTAGGAAAATAGCAGATGATGGCCCAAGTCCTTGGGCCCTTGGTACCCGTGTGGGAGACCGGAATGGAGTTCCAGGCTCCTGGTTTTACCCTGGACCAGCTCAGGCCATGTGCGGAGTGAAGCAGTATGTGGAACATTCTTTCTCTGCCATTCAAATCAATAAACAAGATGTACCAGAAGTGAATCTTAAACACAGGCATGCATGTGCACACACACACACACACACACACACACACGGAAGCTCTCCCTACACACCTGCACACCTTCCTTATCAAAGAAAAATGACCCGGGCTAGTCCAGCACCGTTCAGATGTATCGGTCTGGGATTACCCAGGAGTATCACACCCCAACAGCCAATCATTCAATAACAGGTGTCAGGCACCTTTTCAGCTCCGAGGGCCTCCAGAGCTGTCAGACGCAGAGGGTGTACACTTGTAAGTCAAGTGATTTACAAGGTGGATGTTCCGTTCTGTACCTAACTTCATACGGACCTCGTTATGTGTGGGTCACTCATTCAAACTGTTACGTGTGATATGAATGGCTCCTTTTCTTGGCCAACTAGAATTCCATTGTGTGACAATATCACGTGCAATTGTCTTTCTTCAGCTGATGGGTGGCTGGGTCCGGCTCGGAAGAACAGGCGAGGCTGTCCGAATTCCTCGTGCCTTTTGGTGGGTGCCTGTGCACGGGGAGTTGTCAGCATGCCAAAAGGGGGCAGAGGCCTGGCAAGACTGGAGAACATGGGCGTGAGGGAGAGTCCCACCCATTCCCCAGCAGGCACGCAGGGCAGGCTTTAGCCCTCCCTTCCCCTGTCTCTTTATTTCCAGTCATCCTGATACAGAGTGATATTGCTTTTGGAACCAAATCCCACACTTATACTATCATGCCTTGGCGCTCAGGTTGGATAACGACATATATCTAACTTCTACAAAATTGAGGAATTCTGCCTGTGATAGACTAAAATGCCCCTTTCCATGTCTGGTCACTTCATGACCATAAGTGTGGCAATTAGGGGAGAGGAGGTTGGGACTTGAGGGGTCCCAGGCTACAGGTTGGGCATTAGCCAAGCCATGAGACAGGCCAGGTGCCAAGGCTGCTGAGCCTCTGGTTTGCAAGGATTTGGAGAGACCCTGGACAGATTTCCCAATGTGTCTGGGTTGGCATGGGGCTAATTCAGAACAGAAGCTGAAAATGCACCTGCCCTTAGCCCATGCCTGACTTGAAGTGTGAGTCCCCCAGCATCGGGCATTTGTGGAGCAAAAGTTGCAAGTGGGGAAGGCAGTCGGGCAACGTGTCCAGAAGCCCTCAGTCTAGACACTTGTTTCTCTAACTCAGTGAAAAGCTGGAGCACCTCTCTGCTCAGCTGCCAGAAGTCAGTTGGCTCTGGGGGCTCTGCTTGCCTTGCCTGCGTGCCCCACGCCTACCACCTGGGCCACACACAGACCCTCTTTCTTTCGCCTTTGCTGCAGGTTGGGACTGTCCTGCTCCTCCCTCCACCCCCTACAGGGAAAGTTAAGTTTGAAGAGGACGTTGGAGGGGAGCATGGACGTGAACAGGAGGGTCTGCCTGGAATTGAGGAATTTCTTGGGAACTTGCCTTGGACAATTTCAAATCAAATGATGGACGCATTGAGAGCTTAAGAGCTGAATTTGTGAACTTGGAGTTTCTCAGTTTAATACATATAGGCTTGGTTTCAGTTGCAGCCCTCCCCAAGCTACCTATATAGAGAAAGCTCAGCAAGAATAGAATCTTTGGAGGTCTGGAGGTCCTCTCACCCATCCAAACATGGGTGGAGTTAAGCAGAGATGCCAGCCTCTTGGAGCCCTTGAGGCAGTTGGAGTGTGCCAAAGCCTGGAACTGTTTAACTGTGAGGTCGCTGACCCACCTAGTTGGCTGCCCCTGGGAAGACCCAGCAGCCCCTGAACCAGATGGGAATGAAGAGGATGATGGAGGTGCAGATGGGGTGGAGGGAGAGCTTGAGGCTGGTGAAGAGAAAGAATTTGCCAGAGGATGAAGATGAGGATGAAGATGAGGGAAGCAGGAAAGATGAAGAAGAGAGGAATGGATGATGAAGGAGCAGGTGAACCTGCAGAGACAGAGCTGTTCTCTATCAGACCGTTCATGGATAGGGGACACCCACCCACAAACTCCGGGACACCCACCCACACAAAGAGCCAATGGCTAGCTCCTGTGACACCCCAGCTTCCTCCAGGCAGTCACCTTCGGCAGTCTGTCACTAAGCCTGGGCATTCACCCCAACCAAATTGGTTTGTGTAAGTCTTGCTGTAGTGGGGATGGCTGTGGTGGGTTTCAGCTATTCGTGGCTACCAGTTACAGTGAGATTGTAACAACATTTTTACTTTCTATATAAGAAATTTTGGTAAATAAAATCTTAATATTTGGGGGAAAAAAAACACATGTCTTTTAATACTGGAATGGAAAGGAAGGTTTTTAGCATGGTGTGATAGCATGGCAGTTAAGGTCCTCGCCTTGCACGCCCGGGATCCCATATGGGCGCCAGTTCTAATCCCGCAGCTCCACTTCCCTTCCAGCTCCCTGCTTGTGGCTTGGGAAAGCAGCCGAGGACAGCCCAAAGCCTTGGGAACCCTGCACCCACGTGGGAGACCCTGAAGGAAATTCCTGGCTCCTGGCTTCAGATTGGCTCAGCACCGGCCGTTGCGGCCACTTGGGGAGTGAATCATCGGATGGAAGATCTTCCTCTCTGTCTCGCCTCCTCTCTGTGCATCTACCTTGCCAATAAAAATGAATAAATCTTTAAAAAAAAAAAAAGGGGGGGGGGGAGGTGTTTAGGATTTCTCAAAGACCCTGTGTTGAACAATCACCAATGATATGGGTAAAACCCACTCCATGCAGTAGCTTTGAAGCCACTGGGATTCCAGATCCCTGAAGTACTTACTAAAGGCTGTAGTCTGCTCCCTTCAAAAGATGGTTGAAGCAAGTCCCCCTGTTGCTAACGCTCTGAGAGGTCTGCCATGCCCCAGGCCGGGAAGCTGGCTCCATTGGGAGGCCCTGGTCCAGGCCTTGCCCAGCGCTGAGGACACAGCCCAGCTACTGTTCCCCACACTTGTGTTGTTGGTTGCTGTTGCTGAGCTTGGATGTTTATTTTCTTCCTACATACAGGAACAAAGGTGATGTTCTTTTCTGTTGACTTTAGAGAAAGTGCCCAAAGAAGCCTGTGTTTGAGGCAGGTCCCAGGCCTTTCCCAACTGGGGAGGAGGGCACAGGCTCCTTCTGCAACAAACTGGATTGACATCAACAGCAATAATTCCGTGGACACCAGCCCTGACCTATGTGGGAGAAGCGTTCTGATGGTCTAGACAGGTTTTGAGAACACTTTAACTCCTTGTCGCTATTTAACATGAATACATTGTGGAAAGAGACAAACTCTGAGACCGTGGTCCCCAAGGCTGAGCCCTTACCAGCCCGCCTCCTTGGCCCTTTCCATGCAGCTGTCTACAGATGCTGTGTGTTGCTTTGTGTGGCTCACTTAGGTAGATGATAGTGTATTATCCATTGTGGTCTGAAAAATGCACGTTCACCTTCTCTTCCTATTTCGGTACACGCTGACCTGCCTGTGTATTGTCATGGCTGCCCGGTTATCCTGCAGCCCGCATGTGACATGCTGCGGTCGCAATGCCCTCTTGCTGCACATACTGCTATCCAGCTGTTCCTTAGCATGAATGATCATTTATGAAGCATTCTTATAAGTGCATCCTGTCTACGTGGTGTTTTCCTGGAGTGTAATTATTGCATTTTGAATACATACAGATGCCTCTGTGTATGTGGGTTTTGTCTTGGTGGATTTAACCAACCATGCATCAAAAATATTCTGGGGCCTGGTATAGTAGCCTAGTGGCTAACGTCCTCGCCTTGCATGTGCTGCGAATCCATATGGATGCCAGTTCCCGTCCCGGCTGCTCCACTTGCCATCCAGCTCCCTGCTTGTGGCCTGGGAAAGCAGTGGAAG